ATTTTAAAATCTAAATACATTTGATTTCCAACCAAAACACAGATGTTATTTTTAGCAAACCATAAACCCAGCAAGGAACCTAGCAAGGAATTAAGGATTTACTTATGTTTATAATTTCCATATCTATAACTCAAAAGGAAAAAAAGAAGAATAATTATGAGAAGGACTTTTTAAAGAAGTTTTGATTTCTAATGACTAAGTGCGGAAATAAATACCTTCTGTGACTATTTCAGAATAAATCACTGTTAAGGGTTCTCTCTCTCTATCTACCTACCTACAGGCAAAGTACAACCCTCCAAAAGCTGTTAGTCTGTAACTTCCATCAGCCCTGTCTGATAGCATGACAAATTACAATGGATGCTGAAAGCTGCAGTCCAGTATTTGCAACATCACACTTTGCAAACCAAATTATGTAAGCCAATTAATGGAAATTGCCCAGCCATTTCCTGGTTATGCTTTCCTAAATTCTGATAAAATAATAACTCAAATTTTAATTTCACTTTCATTAACYCCCCCCCCCCCCAGAAAAAGCCACTGAATGATACTTTTTCTTTCAACTAACATAATATCTTTTAAAAGGTATATTTTTAACAGAATATTTGTGGTTTTGGAGCACAATCCACTCAATACATTAGCATACACTTATTCATATGAAATGTGGGGTGCAAATTTAGTCTTGTTTCTGTCAGCCCCAACAACACATTTCCATGAGGTGACTTTTTGCAAAAAGTTGTTGTCAGGTAAACCTCTATGTCTAATCATCATATCATTATGTTAATTGTCTGAGATTCCTCATTAGAGTCCAAAGGCTCATTTGTTTTGATGACTTTCTCACAAAATAAATTTATTAAACTACTGAAGAAGAAGAAAAACCCCAAGTATTTCATGCTGCTTGTTTTATTTATAGCTTTTCTTTAGATCCTCTTTGAAAAGGTATACAGGTCATTCAAATATGTTTTGAACACATGAATTAAACAGGGCACACTGAATATTCTGGAGCAATAAGAGTAAAGCACCATATCCACATGTAGCAATGCAGCTATGTGAGAATATCAGTTACTTCTGGCAGTAGTTGGCACAACTGTCTAATGGAAAATTCTTTACATTTCCACACAAGCATGCTTGCTTGATATATCTAAAACACTTTCCTGAAATAGGACAGCTCCCAGTTTCTTCACCAGAAAAGAATAGTGCTGGCACACAGATGTGTCTTCCCCATGTTTCTACTATTACAACTGCAAATAAAAGTAAAAGGTCATATTTAAATGGCAGGTCAAGTATATTGCTGTTAAAGTTTTAATTTTTTTCAAAAAAGCCTATGCCTTAAAAATATGGTTTGTGTTAACTGTAGTACAAGTGATTAAAACTGCCATTCTGGATAAAAGGGGAAGATTTATGAAGCCGAGATGTCGGTTGCACTGGCAAAGCTACAAATAACACCATGAAAGTCATGGGAATCTGTTATGAAAGGAGTATGAGCAAGACAAGAAGCATGCCTGCAATCATCTAATTTAACTAACAGCTAATCTAACTCTAGAGAGCTTTACCATTTGAAGATGGAAAATATTACAGCATGATTTGCACTGGCAGTGAAGAAATCAGAAAAGTCTCTAAGGGAAAGTCTCAGATATTTTCAGTCATAGCTACTGCAGTAACCTTGACAATGAACATACAAACTGAAGGTCTACATTTGCTCTCTTTTCCATTTTAGTCCCTTAGATGCCAAGCACCCTACCATTCCCTCATGGGCTTTCCTGCAATGCTCACTGACTGTTGCCAAGTTTTATCTCCTCTTAAAAATATTGTCTGCATTGCATCTGTGGCATTACATCACTGAAGAGAAGACTGACATGTATTTGTCATTCGTACACATCTACCTCAATTTGTTCTGTTCACTAATCAGGGACTTCAGACATCTAGGTTATGCACTGCTCCATGAAGGATTCACAAAGTAGGAAGCAATAAAATTCCTGCCTGATGTCCAATGTCTCTTCTTTAATACTCCAGTTAGAGTATTCCACCTCATGAAATAATCTGTCCCACTGCAGAGTTCATCTTATCTCTAGGAAGATTCTCTTGCTTATGCAAAGAGGCAAACTTTCCTTACATTGTCTACTTGGTGGTTCTAGTCCTGCTCACTGAAGCAACACTGAACAGCTTTCATCCATCTCCACTACAACTAACATGTTGGTGTTCTATTACTTGTGTTAAGCATTCCCAACTGTGTCTTGCATCTTTATTTCTTGGTTTTCAAAGTAGTTTTAAAATATGGCACCTAAAACTAAAGAGAGTATTCCAGTACCAGTGAAGAGTAGAAATATCACTTCCCACAAAGCATTCTGCTTCTGTTTATATCCTCAAAGAAAGGATGTCACACAACCAATTGACATTAAGCATCTGATCTCTTAGGAAGTAGGCAAGAAAATATAATGCTCATATATTCAAACAAGCATCTCGTATTAAAGAAATACACAACTTTACAGTGAATATCCAAAAAGCAAAGAGGATTCCCCAATAAAGCTGACGCTCCTATGATATATCCTGAATTTTTATTTGGTAATATAACCCTTTTCCCTTCAGGATAAAATCATGCCTCTATGAAAAGCATGCCTCATGCCCCTACAGCCTCTATGAAAAATAATGATTTTACTTTTAGCAAATCACATCACAGCTGGATTCTGTGATCTTCTACACTTATATATTTTCATCTTATTTCTCAATTGCTTCACAGTTTACAGAGCATATACATATACAGGCAGAGTTACGAATATTTGAATTACAAACAATTCATAGTGAAAAACAAGGGTGAGACAAAAGGAAGTAAGAGAAAACTACCCCTTAGGAAGGGAAATGCACTCCTGTTTCCACTAAAGCTTGATCACCAATCCTTGTTTCCACAACAAAACAAAATTTTCAAAATCCAATTACCACAGAGACAGAAAGTGAGGGAAAATCTTCTGAACAAGGGCACATATGACAAAACAAACACCACAGGGATGTTAACCCTTTCCTATGCTATCCAAAGCTTGATCCAAATGCCCGATCACCGTCTCCGAAAGAAGTTACTATAATCCCAATTCAAGAACAGAAAACGGAAAGTTGGCGGACAGGAAAAGAAATTTAAAGATGGGCTTAAAGCCAACCTTAAAAACTGTGGCATAGACACTAAGAACTGGAAAGCCCTGGCCCTTGAGTGCTCTACCTGGAGGTCAGCTGTGACCAGCAGTACTGTGGAATTTGAAGAGTGCTGAATGGAGGTCAAAAGGGAGTAACATGCTAAGAGGAAGGCGTGTCAAGCCAACTCTGACTGGGACCGCCTTTCACCTGGAAACTGATGCCCTCACTGTAGAAAAACATACTGGCCAAGAAAAGGGCTCCACAGTCAACTACGTATCCACCGCCAAGACAATACACTTGGAAGGTCATCATACTCAGACAGGATTACCTATATACACACACACACACACACACACACACACACACGAAGTTACACTTTAAAATGTACCTGTTCCAACGAACATACAAATGCAACTGAAGAACTGGGTTGCTGYTGTTGTTGTTGTTGTTGTTGTTGTTGTTTTTACATTGTCTTATCTTGGGGGGGGGGGGAGATATGGCTCTGCCAACCAGAGACCGAGGCAAGAAATATGAGAAAATGTGGTGGCCAACATTCAGCTATAGGCTAATCATGATTGATCCCTGTGTTTCAAAGAAGTGAATGTAAACAAGTGCTAGTAAAATAAATACTTTTTACTGATATAGTATATCAATCTAAATAGTATGATGTGGTGGTTTTGAAATAGCTTATGCTAACATTTTACTGATAAGAACAGATACTACTTGATCTTAACCAAAAGGGTAAGAAGCATTTTGGCTAATGCTTCTTGGCCTYTTGGCTAAGATCAAGGGTAGTATCTGTWCTTATCAATAAAATGTTAGCATAAGATATTTCAAAACCATCACATCAAGCTATTTAAGTTTTAGCTGGCATTCCCCCCCCCCCCCCAATATGTGATGGGAAGTTGCTGCTAACTGTGAGAGAAATAAAGAGAAATAAAGTTGAACACTGTGAAATCCATCTACTGCCTATCTATCAGCCCCCCTCCTAGTAGACTCAAATCAAGGAAAAGCTCCATGAGAACCACCACTCATCTTAATGTTCCCCCAGCAGCAGAAAGAGTATTTCTCTGGGGAGCTAAACCAGGAAATCCCAATTGGATGCCCTCCTTCCTAACCAGGGTCTGCCTCCTGGGGAAAAACAAGAATGGGCAACTTGGAAGTCCCTGAACAGACTGATAAGTTGAGTGGACAGATCAAAAGACAACCTGGCAAAATGGCACTACCTAAAAGAATCCTCCACTTTGTGCGACTGTGGAGAAGAACAAGTAACTCCGTATCTGTACGCTTGTCAACAATGTCCTGCCTCATGGACTGAGGAAGAATTGTTTAAAGCTACAGACAATACGGTCACTGATGCTCGTTTTTGGTCAAAGATTATTTCGCCGCTAGTGCTCCTTCTATTTTTATCAGTTTTATACTTACTTATGCAATGCTTTTGATATGAAATAAATAAAACATTTTACTACAGTAAATTTGTTATTACTAATTAATATACATTTGCCATTCATGAAGAGATTAGAGGTGAATAGTAGAAAAACAAAGTGTTAAATATTTGGTGTACTGACTCAACATTCCTGATATTAAACATTCTATCAAACAAGCTTCTGCAAGGTTGGTTTTGAGAGGGCTCAGTCTGATGAAAGGGTAAGACTTGGAAAGCTATTTCCACAGGCTTTCCCCATAAGCCTACCATATATTACCAAGAACATTCTTCTCGACTCCATGTTCACATTCTGTTGTTCTTTAAATGGAATTACCATGATAGGTTCTTTAAAAATTCTTGGGAGACAGAATATGAAATACAAGAACAATGCTATTGAAAAGGCGAAAATAGTAAAGGCTGCTTCATACTAAGGATTAAATTTTACAATTATATTTACCTGTGCACATAGTGTAGTTGATGTACAGAATCAATTGCGACCACCATTTCAGCTAAATAAAAACGAGCCATTTCTTCAGGTAATCGGTCCTCGAATTTACTGAGTAAAGTAAGTAGATCTCCACCGACATAATAATCCATAACAAGGTACTAGACAAAAATAAAATAAAGGGAAGATTTAATACATTAGGCAAAGATGCAAATATTCAGCAAACACAACTGAGTTGTGGAAAAATATGCAACTCCTTCCACAATAAAGGTGTCTGCCTTTTGGTAGAACTACAGTCTTCTACAGAAAAAGGCTACTGGAAATACAACAGTATTTGTTATAAAATAATGTAGTTAAGTCCTGGCATGGGAGAGGATTTTCTGAGCCACTACTCCAATTAAATAATAAAAGTGTGATAAAAACAAAATTAAAATACAGCAAATATATTAAAATGGCCTTCAAAACTTACTAAATAGTTTTCATCCTGGAAGGCGTAGTGCAATGTTGTAATCCATTGGTTGTCTCCATTCACTAATACATCCCTTTCTTCTCGAAAACAAGCTGTCTGAAGGGTAGAAAAATAGTGTTTTGGGCACAATTCACAGCAAGATACCAATATTCATTTAAAATCAGAGGTTTGAAGAGGCAACCACAGATTGCACAAGTATTTTTTACCTCTAGACCAGAATCATGTAATTGTGAATGGGTTCTTCTACTACTCATTACAACCAGGGGCAGTTAAGCAGGTATCAGATCTTAGTTAAGTGGGAAATTTAGTTGAGTAACACTGCTGTACAAATCCCTATTCTTATTACCATGGGGTTTAGACTGGAAGATTGGGTTATAGCTTATACCTATAGCAGCTCATACAATGACAAGTCTTAATGGTGTCAGTAGACACTATTGCTTTATAAAACACGCTAAGAAATGTACACCACAGCAGGATCCCAACAGCTGAGCTTCCAGGTAAATTTAGAAACAGGGGGAATCTGTCAGAATGGCAGTGGGTAAAAAGAGGTAAAAATTAAGGTATAAATTTAATGTTAAGCATTTGTATCCTAAAACATTGTTTTGTATCATTATTTCCAATCTAGGCATTATAACACCTCCCCCCCCTTCAAATAATTCACAGAAAGGGGTCCTGAGTGGGAAAGGTCCTTCTCTAATAGGCTATACCTGCTCCAGAAAGTTGTTGCAAGCTTCCAGGAGCATTATGTTTTCTGTAGTTATACAGGAAGTTATAGAGCATTCTGGAATGTCCTTCAATGTATGTGAAAAAATTCAACAGCATTTTTGCATTTTTTTCACTCATATTTGAAGGAAGATTAAATATCTACACTGCCTTTTTGATTAGATGGAAAATCTGGTGTAGTGCAGAAGAATTGTCTTAATTTAAGTTAAAAATATATGTATATGTATAAATTCTAAATATAAAGGAAGTGTGGCCCACAAAAACAGATAAATGTAATTTTTTACATATAGCTAGAAGAGACGAGTAGTGTTTTTGATCACAGCTATGAAGAGCCTATTATTCTTTTAAAGTTAGACCATCAATGCTGCATTAATATTAAAAGCTTCTAAACTATGAAATCATTTTAAATCTTGCTTTCTGAAATTTCCGACATCTGCTTAGTCTTAGGAAAAAACATTTTCTCTTTATTATTGCAATTTTGGTTCTGTATTGAGAAAAAAGTGGGATATCAATCCTGTATATAATCCCAGGCTACTGATGTAGTGATATTATTATACAATAAAGAAGGCTGATAGAGCAATAGCAGACCACTTGCTTCATACTCTGGACATCTCACTAACGGTCTGAAAAGACTGTAAAATGAGAAAGTCAGTACTTGATGGAACAGACAACACTAGTTAGTCCCAGGAAAAGGTAGCTGGATAGGCTCATCTGCTTCATTCGAAGCATCTATTTACAGAACAAAATTATTCCTGGAGAGAACCACTAGACTGTCAGCATCTAAATTCCTTTTTATCTATAGAAAGCAAAGAATAAGTACCAATGAAGGTTTACAGAGCCTATTCATTATGATATTGTTAGTTTAGTTTGCAATGCTTTTTTATTTTGTTGTTACGTATTATGTTTCTTGCTTGATTTTATATTTATTTTGTAAGTCACCCCAAGTCCTTTTGGGGAGGGGTGGGATATAAATATATATTATGATAATGATGATTATGATTATGATTATTATTATTCTAGTTGTACAACTTGAGAAACTATTAGTCACTACATTTTCACTAGAATCTAGACCAGCGGTTCTCAACCTGGGGGTCGCGACCCCTCAGGGGGTCGTTTGGCCATTTTCTGGGGGTCGCGAAGCCGCATTGGCTGGCCACGCCCCCTCCAAAATGGCGGCCGACCCCCTGCGCCACTGGCATTCCCCCGCGCGAAGCCATCCGCCTGTCCCTCATCTCCTTCTGATGGCAGAAGGAGGCGAGGGACGGGCGAGCGGCTCCGCGGGCGGCTAGGCCACACGCGAAGCCATCTGCCTGTCCCTTGCTTCCTTCTGATGGCAGAAGGAGGTGAGGGATGGGTGAGTGGCTCCTTGGGCGCCCCTCGCCTGCTCTGCTCTCCCGCCGGCCGGTGGGGGGGCGGAGCAGGCGAGGGCCTTTGGAGCAAGGCCTTCTCCAGGTGCCCTTGCCTGCTCCGCTCTCCCTGGGTGGCGGCGGGGGGGGCGGAGCAGGCGAGGGCCTTGGGAGCAAGGCCTTCTCCAGGCGCCCTCGGCTGCTCCGCTCTCCCGCCGGCCGGCAGGGGTGCGGAGCAAGCGAGGGCTCTTTGTTGCAGGTGAACTATAAATCCCAGCAACTGCATATCCAAATGTCAAGGTCTATTTTCAACAAACTCCACCAGTGTTCACATTGGGGCATATTGAGTATCTGTGCCAAGTGTGGACCAGATCCATCATTGTGTGAGTCTGCAATGCTCTCTGGATGCAGGTGAACTACCTCCAAAACTCAAGGTCAGTGCTCACCAAACCCTTCCAGTATTTTTCGTTGGATGTGGGAGTTCTGTGTGCCAAGTTTGGTCCAATCCCACCATTGGTGGAGTTCAAAATGCTCTTTAATTGTGGGTGAACTATAAATCCCAGCAACTACAACTCCCAAATGACATAATCAATTTTCCCTCCAACCCCACCAGTATTCAAATTTGGGTGTATTGGATAACGTAAGGTAAAAGTTTTCCCCTGACATTAAGTCCAGTTGTGTCCAACTCTGGGAGTTGGTGCTCAATTTCTAGGCCAAAGAGCCGGTGTTGTTCATAGACACCTCCAAGGTCATGTAGCTGACATGACGGCATGGAGTGCTGTTTTTGGGTATTTGTGCCAAATTTGGTCCAGTGAATGAAAATACATCCTGCATTTCAGATTTTTTACATTGTGATTCATAACAGTAACACAATTATAATTAGGAAGTAGCAATAATAATAATTTTATGGTTGGGGGTCACCACAACGTGAGGCACTGTATTAAGGGGTCGCGGCATTACGAAGGTTGAGAACCACTGATCTAGACACTAAACTTCATCACATGCCACACTCAGGTGAAAAACCATGAATGTATAGAGAGAAAAACATTATCAAGTTTTCTCCAAGAACATATTTCTAAAATACAGACAACAGATATTATACATTTAAACATATTTTTAAGCTACGTTGTGATTTTGGACTCCTTTTTGCTTTAGTATTTTGTTGTACTAATCTAAAATAATTATTATGGAAACTTTAAGGCTAAATGTGAAAGTTGAAATCCATTTTGGCCTTATCAGTCATATCATAGCCCAAAGATACTGTAAATAGGTGCATTTCTAGGCACACGTAAGGAGCTATCTATTGGGATCCCCTCAATAGATGGCGGTGTAGTCTGCTGTTAAAGAATCAAAGTATTAAAAGGAGTGGAGCAAAAACAATTTTACTAACTTCCCCAAATAGGTGATCAACATTGCTAAAACTGGCATCACTAGCCATCTGTTCAGTACTGAACACATAATTGCAATCTTGTAACATGAGCTAAGGATGCAACACTGGGTGCTTAATGTGGAGACCAAGTAATAGAAGCTATGTGCATACTACACCCCTTCAGGGAAAATTGTTCTCAAGACAGCAAAGAATTTATGCCTGGAAACTGGTTCTGCATATATACTGCCTTTCTTGGATCCAAACAAGAGTACATAGTAATTTGAATTCTATGTATTTGGCATCCAAGCATATTTTAAGTTTCTTTAGTTGCAGAGTTGAGTCCCAAGTTTAAACATTTTTGAAGAACAAAATAAGCATTTTAAAAAAGATGCTGAAACTTCAATATAAGTTTGTAAATATCTGGGTTGTTGTAGGTTTTTTCGGGCTATATGGCCATGTTCTAGAGGCATTCCCTCCTGATGTTTTACCTGCATCTATGGCAAGCATCCTAGTGAGGATGCTACCTCTGAGGATGCTTGCCATAGATGCAGCCGAAACGTCAGGAGGGAATGCCTCTAGAACATGGCCATATAGCCCGAAAAAACCTACAACAACCCAGTGATTCTGGCCGTGAAAGCCTTCGACAATACTTTGTAAATATCTTTTACCAACCAAATGAGTAACAAATATTATGCAAAAGTAGAAGGAAATTCTGAAAAATGAAGTGTGATAGGCCCAAGCTGTTGGTTATCTCAAGCATTACAAGATAGGCCTCTGTAATAAGCAATAAACTTGGTTGAACACATTTAGTTTCCATAAAAATGTAAAAGGGTCCATTAAACAAATTAATGTTCACAGTATCTTGAATATGTATTCCTTGAACCTTACCTCAGCTCTTTTCAGCATTTCCCATTTATTTAATATTTTCATGGCAAATACTTTGTCTGCATTTTTCAATTTCACCACTGCAACCTGTAAAATTAAAATGCATTTTTAGAAAGATATTTATATACTGCAAAAGATTTCTAAGACAGTTCATTTTCACAGTCTTACTGCAAATGACACCAAAAAGATTTCAGACTTTGCTATGGATACTGAAAAAATGATTGCTTATAGCTCCTCAAACTGAGATAACAATATATCTGTGAAAACTCTACAGGGCAGTGATTCCCAATCGTGTTTTTTTTTCTTTGACCAGGGACCACTCTCCAACATTAGTACCAAAAGGGTTAAGATTCGGTTTTTGGTCAACTTTAGATTTGGTCTGGTTATTTGGGGTGCTGATTCAGAAAACCACATTCGATAGACCACATCAGCTCTAATTTTTGATACAGTACATATGCCACCCAGAAGTCGCCATCTGCTCACCCACAGAAAACCATATTTAATAATCTAGAGCTGATGAGGTAGTAGTAATCTTTTGTGGGTAGTCAGCTCTCTCCTCCCGACATCCCCGTTGCCTCAGAATTATAAGAGGGTTTCACAAGACCAGTCGCTCTCGTTGCTGTGTGGTTTTGAGGCACTGGTGTAGTAATGGTGAGGCCCTGGACCATATTTTCGTTCTTGCAGACAACTGGTGGTCCGTGGATCACAGGTTGGAAGCTACTGCTATAGGATGATATAGCTCAAATTGCCAGATACTTCTTTTGAATAATTTTCTAACTACAATTCTAGCATACTAAACAATCATGCAAACAAAAACCTATATCCCACAACTGCTGATGAATTGTTATCCCACATCCTTTCAAATACACTGTGGTACATGTCACTAAGCTGATTTTCCAGGGTCTTGAAAAGTCTCACTTGCTTTACAGACCTTCTTGGATCAAAATGTTGACACGTATGTTTAGATGCTGATCACTGACACAGATATGTGTTTCTGAGGAAGTAGAGTTTGTTTTAGGAAAGCTTATGCTGCCAATTTTGTTCTCTTAGGGCCCTTTCAGACAGGCCCTATATCCCAGGATCTGATCCCAGGTTTTCTGCTTTAAAGTGGATTATATGAGTCCACACTGCCAGATAATCTGGGATAAACAGAAAACTTGGGATCAGATCCAGAGATATAGGGCCTGTCTGGAAGGGCCCTTGGTAGCTGAAGTGCTACAAGATTAATGTTCCAGATTAACATGGCTATGCCTTTGAATTCTATGGTCACATAGTTCCACAGGTCATTTTTGTAGTTATATCATCAAAATATACCTATCTGTGATTTATGGTAACAAAATCAAAATCGATAGTTTTTAAAAAACTGAATCCAGAGCTAGATATAATGCCTAAATAATGTATCAGAATTCTAGAAGGCTCTCAAGTTCTCCAGCTGGTGAAACTGCAATAAAACAATTTAAATGCAATCCTAACACACCATTAAAAGGCAGTTAAAATTTAAAAGGTGAAACTGACCTATTTAAAATGCATGGGCAAAAAAAACCAAACACCTTGCACAGATACAAAAATGACTACAAGGGAAATAACTGTCAGTGAACAAACAGAAAATTATATCTGTAGATCTCAGAATACACCCAAGGACTGGATCTGAGGAACCTCAGGTATAACTCCTGGCTGCTGCTAGCCAGACTTCACAATACAAGACGGATAGAGAGCATGACTCAGTGCTAGAAATTGTTTCCCATAGTTATCATGCATAAGCTCCATTAGAATCAGTATCTGAGGAGCATCGGTTCAAAGACCCCTGGTGAAGACCAAAACCCTCAAAATGCTCACATCGTACTATATTAAATGGTGTAGTAAAATGGCAAAGAACTCAAATGAAGGCTGAAGAGAGACTAAGGATCTGTGAAATGGCAGAAGACTACATCAGGATTTGCTTTTACCTTTACATAATACACAATATGGAGCAAAATGAATGTTTGCTTTTTGGAATTTCCCCCCTTAATATTTTCAAGCCATAGTTCATTGAATCCATGGATGAAGAACCATGGATATGGAAAGGCCACCTGCACCTGCTAATATTCCAGTGCTAGCTGACAGTTTTCGTCAATGGAACTCACTTTTTTAAAAAAATGACAGTAATCCAAACTGTCAGTCAGTTTGCCTATGCCTTGCCATATCAAGTGGGGAGATATCAGGAGATGCGCTCCTATGGGCAGACTAGTCAAAGGTGGCAAAAGATGTTCAAAGCTGTCACATTCACTTCCACCTATATCAACAGATATAGAAGTGCAGCCAAGCTAAACACTAGAATATGTTTTAACCTACTCATTCTGAATGCTGAGCATATGTATCTTAGTTTTCTCAGAAACAAATTTAGTACTGCTTGGAGTTTAACTCAAGGGAAATTTCAGAGATTAAAACTAGCTAGCATTACAATTAAAAGAATACTTCAACAAAGACAAAGAACTTGGGTTTGAAGAAAAAGACAATTTTTGGAAAGCAATCATAAAAAACAACAGCAAAAATACAACAATTATATATACCAAACTTTTGGAATGCGCAACAAAAATACAGCGGGTGAAAGAATGTATGATAAAATGAGCGGTAAATATAGGCAGATCAATAAAATTTAAAAAAGGGGAAAGGATATGGACAAAGAAAATGAAATACACCCACTTAACCAAACTTAAAGAAAAGTGGCTCAAGATGTTCTACAGGTGGTATATGACACCACAAAAATTAGGACTAATGTATAAAAAAGTACAAAATAAATGCTGGAAATGTCAAACAGAAGTTGGGACATTCTATCATCTATGATGGACCTGTTCAAAAGTAAGAAGTTATTGGAAAATGGTTCAAAAACCTTGTCAAAAAATACTAAAGATGAAAATTCAAATGAAGCCGGAGTACTTCCTGTTAGGCATAACTGATGAAGATATCGATCTTGACCCAAATAAAGACATCATATTCACATATTTAACAACTGCAGCCAGAATTGTGTATGCGAGGAAATGTAAATCAGAAGAACTAGCAACAAAAGAAGAATGGCTAAAAAAAAGGTTGGAGAAATAAGAGATATAGATAAATTAACTTTTTATTTGAAGGAATCGGACGGTCGTCCAGTAAAGAAAACAGACTGGAAACTGTTTGAAGAATACATGTTTGAAGACCATTAATGGCTGACTAAACATTAAAAACACTGGAGAAGAAGGAAAGATAACAAGGAATTATTTGCTACAGAGAAGGAAAAGATACACATACAAACGAATGGAAGAGAAGCCGAAATTAATGAAAGGACTTGAGATTTAATAGTATTCAGAATGCAGAGAAGAAGACTGGGAAGTCAACACCAACCCTCCCCCTCCCCCCGCCCTCCCTCGTTTTTTCCTATACTCTTCACAGAGTCTCTCCCTCCCCTCCTTGCATTCACCCCTGTTCCACTCTTCCCCCTCCCAACAAATCTCTCCCCTCCCAAAGACCCTCCCTTGTCCCAGAACTATTCCTATCACCCTATTTTATTTGTAGATTTGGAAAAACCATTAATAAAAACTATAAAAAAATTAGCTAGCACTACATGTATTGTGGAAGCATAACAATGACCAAATTTCAAGCCACACATTTTACGTGTTGTACTTGTTTTGTTTTATGAACTAACCATTCCTTTCCCTACCATTTTAGAATATAAATATCGTCAATTTCAACTAAGTAGACCCATCAAAGGTACACTGATAAATCAGCACATGTGAATTCAATTGATTGAATAATTACTTTGGTGGAGGTCTAAGAATAGGAATACAGCTTACAAAAATATCAATCATCTCTACATTTAGTGCTTCCCTTCTTACTTTCATTTCATTTCAGAATATTAATGAAAATATGATTTCAATCATATGTGACCACAGTATTATTTGTATATTAAAAGTTACATACAAACTTAAAAACACTTGGCTTATATGTACATATCCAAATAGTTAAACACATATTCTGTATGTGGATAGACCACTGATTATATTGGACTGATTGATAGATCTGGGAGAAAATGGATCTCAATTGATAAATCAATCCTTCATTTTTTAATCAGAAAATTGGAAGATTTGCTATTTTATATAAACATTGCAATTGATTTTAAAATCTTCATTTAAACATTCCATGTATTTAATACATTTGCTACTTCAGCAATATGAATAAACCCAGGATCAATCTTCCTTCCTATAATGTAAAGGTAAAATCTGAGACCCTGGATTTGAAGCGGTAAAACATAGTTAAAATACATAAATTAAAGAAACCCATACCAACATGATGCCAGTTTCTAGGAAGAATCAAAGCAATGACTCCTCTCATGTAGCCAGAGGTTTATCAGCTACAAAGATTTGCTAAATTCGGAGATTATTTCTTATTTGACATTTTTTGATTTTGAAGAAGTAGAAGAAATATCTGTTCTATATAAAAACATTGTATAAGAAGCAGTTCATGCAGAAAAACATAAAATTACGTCGGAGGGGATCTCAAGGTTAATCTAATCCAAAAATGAAACATTCTGTCACATGGTAATTCAACTTCTGGTTAAAAAACTAAACAAGGAAGATCTCATCACACTCAAGAGTCTGTCCATTACATTCATGTTTTCACAATATAGAATGTGAAGTTATAAAATGAGAAATCAAGTCTGAAAATAGTTGGTCATGTGGGAAATACCCATACCCAAAATAGGAATTCAAAGTAATGTATGTATTTTATAATCAATTTCACCATATTCTAGTTTTTCAGTATAATGATCCATTGCTAAGAAAAACATTGATGGCTGTAATAAAAAGTTTAAAGGTAATTTTTGTTTCAACCTTGAATATACCCTAGGATGTTGTTACAAAGACTGGCATTTAATTTATCCTTCAGGCTACTGGCTGAACCTTGCAGCCTATCCATCTCTGAACATTCATTCTGGCTGTGAACCAAGAATTTATAAAAGTAAGGACATAACATACCAATTCACTTTACTTTATTTCTTAATTAGTCGCTCTCCACCAAAGTGCTCTGAGTGATTTACAATTTAAAATAGCATTTCACAATATAAAAACATTCAA